TTGGAAGGCTGAGGCGGAAGGTTCGCCGGAGTCCAGCAGGTCAAAGCTGCGGTGGCTGGGAGTGGCCACTGCTCTCCAGTCTGGGTGACAGAGTGAGACTCCAACTCAAAAAAAAAAAAAAAAGTCCTCAAAGGAAAATGTTTGCCATGCAGAAGAGGTGAAACAAAAAACAGCAGAAGCACTAAAAGGCATCAAAATTGATGAGTTAGAAAACTGTTTTGAACACTGGGAAAAGTGTCTCAATAGGTGTATTGCATCAAACAGAGAGTACTTTGAAGGTGACTAAATTTAAACATGTAAGAATAAATATACAATTTTTGTAAATAAATTCCAGGGTTTTGGGGGTCTGTCCTCATATGTTACAATGTGCCTAAAACCTTATGCTTGATTGTAAAAAATAGCCAATTTCCAATTTTTTCTATAATTAACACCACAGTGAATATCTTTACCAATGGAAGTTTGGGTCTTTCTTTGTATGTAGCATTGTTTCTTTATTATAAGTCTCCAAAATGACTATGTCTGAGCTATGACCAAATGTCTTTCTAAATACTTTATTATACCAATTTATATCTATCTTGAATATTTAGCATGAAAAGGAGTTTTTTGTTGGGTTTGTTTTTAGAGATGGGGTCTTGCTGTAACACCCAGGCTACAGGCGAGAATGCAGTGATATGATCATAGTTCACTGCAGCTTCAAACTCCTAGGCTCAAGCAATCCTCTTACCTCAGCCTTCTGAGTGGCTAAGATATAAGCACATGCCAAAAAAAAAGTTATCAAAAAGAAAATGTACTTCCTTTTATTTTAAAAATCCAACTATAACAATACATTATTTAAGTGATCAGCCCTATTGAAAACAGAAGGATATGACCAAAAACTCTGGAGTAGCCAGTTATGGTAATGTCAACCAGACATCATGAGTCAGACATGAGAAGCTGGGGGAAATTTGGCCACCAAAGTAGGCAAGGGCGAAAAAAAGAAAACCAAGCAGGTTGAGTAATCCATTAGTATCACCATGTTATAAGCTGCAATGAAAAGATATTCACTTGAAACAGTCACCAAAATATGATAGCAGATAGGCATTGGTGGCTTTGGTTTATCAAACCCAAAGAGTTCTGGCTAATGAAAAATTTTCACTGTTCCTAGGGCTCTCCCACTCTTGAACCTAGCAGAGAGGATATGAAGTGGGTTACAATCCATCTCACATTGCCCTAGATAAGCAGTGAACCCTAGAGCAAGCTATCAACTCTGTGAAAATGGCAGCTTTTTCTAGCTGATGTACTCAGAGAAGGACATATTGTTGTCATTTTTACCCCCAAAGTAGTTGCAATTTTGTAATTCACAATCTTTAGTACCAGCTGTTGCCCTCAGTGTTCTTCCTATTTATGAGGCTATTTTCAGTAGGGAAGGAAGGATAGAGCTCTTAACTTTAGTTTCCCTATGGCTGACTCATCATAGGGTATTTCTGCCTTTCCATCTGAGATTTTTGAGATATATGTTGATATGGAAGATGACTGATCCCAAAATGCTTGGATCTTGAAAAACATCATCAAAATGACTGACTAGAGGTACTCAGTGCTCACATCCTTCACAAAAAGGAACCAAAACAGCAAGTAGGTAACCACATGTCACTTAAAGTATTTAGGGGGAAATGCTGGAATCTAGTAAGAAAGTGACAGGGACTCCTGGAGGCTTGGAAATTCAAGATGGCAGCATAGAGAGGGAAGTGAGGCATCCAACTGGATTGGCTCACCGACAGGAGTGACTCCCTATTTCAGGGAAAAGATTAGTGAAAGATCCTGAGCATTCCACATTCCCACCACAGATGCTGGCAATCCTAGCTACAGGAAAGCCCTGCAGCCTTCATGGGCTCTGAGTCTAGTATTGGGAGCTTCCTAAAGTCCACATGACTGCATTGTCCCATAGAGGAAATTACTGCCGATTCCCACCATTGGGACCCAAACTGCTGCAGCATGGTTCCATTTTGAAAGCAGCACCAACACTGAATTGCATCCTGCCCTAGGGCCCAATAGCCCCTGAATCTCCACATCCCTGGGACACCACCAGTGTTCTCCACATCCACCCAGAAGACTGCATTGTTGCAACACCAGTTGGACCCATTAATTAACTTCATTGTTGGGACCTGAGTCCATGCAGTGCCCTATACTGTGGGGAGCAGGAGATCCAACACATCCAGGACATACAGAACTGGGTCATTTGCTCCCCAGAGCCTGGGAATAGCATTCCCAGAGCTGCCATCACCAACAGCAACCCTCTAGCAGTGAGACTGCTGTTCACTCACATCCCCCACCTAGGAACTGACTTTTCTGCCCCAGTGTGGAAACAGCTTGTGCTTGTGCATCCCATGCAGGGGCTCAGGGACTGAGCCACCTGGCCCACTGTTGGTGTCCATACATGCCTCTTGAGAGCCTAGGGACTGGTCCTACCACCCCACCACTGACACTATCAAAGTTTACATACCCTACCCAGGTGACTAAAGACCTACTTCTGTTGCCACTGCTAGTATCCATGTACCCTACCCAAGGACCCAAGTGTTATCCCATCCAGGACCCAACATCACCACCACCAGCACCTGCATGCACCACCAGGAACTCAATAAGTGACCTGTTGCCACCACTGCAGCTACCCACATGTCCCACTTAGGGGCCTGAGGACCATGTGACACTCCCATCCCTAGAAAATACTCACCAAACTCCCACAAACAACTGCAGCCTAAGCCACTAAGGAACTTTCAGACAGTGATGATATTGATTACACCCAAAGTAATAATATGGAGACTACATATGCTACCAAGAACCAAAGCCAAAGTCCCTTACCCAAGTGACATTACAGATATATTTATAGAAAAAGGACTTTCCCTATGGAACCTACCTCATAAAATTGAAAGAAGTGGTAGTTTCCAGATGCACAGATATCAATGTAAAGACACAAGAAACATTAAAAATTAAGGAAATATGACACCTCCAAAGGAACACAGTAATTCTACAATAACAGACACCAAAGAAAAAGAAATCTTTGAAATACCCGAAAAGGAATTCAAAAGAATGATCTAAAGGAAACTCATTGAGATAAAAGAGGATACAGATAAATACAAAGAAACCAGGAAAGCAATTCATGAACTGAATGAGAAATTCAACAAAGAGATAGATACCATAAAAAAGAGCCAAACAAATCCTGGAACTGAAGAATTCAATGAATCATACAAAAAATACAATTGAGAATTTCAACAATAGACTAGATCAAGCAGAAGAAACAATTTTTGAACTTGAAAACAGGTCTTTTGAAATAAACCCGTCAGGAAAAAAAAAAGGAATAAGCAGAATGAAAAAACTTAAGTGGCATGTGGGATACCATTAAGCAAACAAATATCTGAATTTTGGGAGTTCCATAAGGAGAAGAGATAGGAAAAGGCATATAACACCTACTTAATAAAATAATAACTGAAAACTTCAAATCTTGGAAGAGATAAGAACATCCAGATACAGAAACCTCAGTAATTCCCATATAGAATTCATCTAAAAATTTCCTCTCAGTAGCAAATTATAGTCAAATTTCCAACACACTTGAATCTCAGTGTGTATTACATGTGCATCCTAAACTCTATTTAATACATCTTTAAAATTGATATCCCTTCTGAAATATTTTATCTGTCCCTGTAGCCCAGTGATTAAGCATACAGACACTAAGTGAGAAATCTGGAATAGAATACTGCCTCCATTATTACTACTTATGTGATATGAGAAAGTTTTCTGAACTCTTTTGTCTGAGCTACAGTTTCCTCATCTGCAAAATCAGAACAATAATAAAAATACCTATGATGCAGGATTATTGTGAAGATTAAATGAGATAATATATATAAGATGCCCAGCATTTGTTTGATAAATGTTAACTCTCATTTTTTAAAAATAGTAAAACTTGCAAGCACATTTACATGGTGAAAACTAATTATCATCTTTGCATTATCTGCAAGGGAATTTGGGAAATGTTCAATCTTAGGTTTTCAAATTCTACAATACAGGAGGACTATATTGCATTGGATATCAAGGGCCAATTCCTCATGTCCAGCATGGCCATTAAGCAAGACTCTTCTCCTTATAACTTCATGGTCCTTTGAATGACCAAAGCAGCACATTTTAAAATGCATTCTGCATATTGCAGAACTATGAGATGATGTTTCAAATACAATTTGTTAGCATTAAGAAAAATAAGACATATCACTAGTGCATTGCCAAACTTTTAAAGTTATATAAAAACACAACTAAACTCACAGGCTCCAAATGAACAATACTATTATCTTGGACATGAGAAGTTTTATACTCTGAAACAAATTGACAATAGTAATTACATTTTGTTCAGAGTTTACTGTATGCCATCACATATTCTAGCACATGGCATGTATTATCACAAAAAAATCCAAATCCATGAGATAGTTAATATTCCAAGTTTACAGAAGAGGAAACTAAAGCATGAAGACTTCAGTAATTTGTACAACTAGTAAGTGGCAGAATTGGGATTTGAGCCCAGGCAGTCTGACTCCAGAACCGATATTCTTAAGTACCTTTCTTAACTGCACAGTTAAGATGCTTCCCTTCTATATTTTAAACTCCAAGCACTTACAGTACTTTCAAAACTTATGGAAATTGGTGTATATTTAATTTATGCAACAAAAACTCTAATACTATAGCATATTTCATAGTCATTAAATGAAGGACTACATAAATGGGGATGGAGAATAAGTTTTAAACTATGTTAACTAGTCAAATTATAAAAATGAATCTTATACTTAATGAATGTCTGGAAATTTTTGGCTAACTACTGAAATTATGACTAAATCTTAAAATAGCAAGAACTTAGTCACATTCATAAGGTTTGGAAAATAAGGGAATTCTTGCTCATCTTCGTTTGGTAATCAACACATTTGGACTCCTTTATATTAGGATTTAATTGTGATATTCATGCTGCCTTCCTCCTCTTGGTACAGACCATGTAAATGGACACTGCACAAGTCCAACTTCTCAGAGTTGCAGTTCTGGAAAACGTCTTTCTAGTGCTGATGTTTCAAAAGTAAATCGCTGGGGTCCTGCAAGACCACCATTTCGAAAGGCACAGTCAGCAGCCTGCATGGAGATTTCTTTACCTGTTACAACAGAAGGTAGGTTAAGCAATTTTTTTTTTACTTTTAATATTTTTATTTTAAAGATGTGGGTACAGTTCAGGGTTAGGTATACAGTTGTCCATTATACAGGTACCCTTGTTGATGAAGCGTGCCCCCCCTCCACTGGCAGTTTCCCTCTACTGCCAATCTTTTTCTTATAGTATTATGACAATTGTTCAAGGTCTACTTATGAGGGAGAACACGTGATACTCAGTTCTTTGTTTTCTGTGATAGATCACTCAGTATTATAGACTCTAACTCCATCCAGGTTGCTGTGAAGCTCATGATTTTGTCCTTCTTTATGACTGCGTAATATTCCATAGTGTATATGTACCACTTTTTTGATCTAGCCCTCTTTTGATGGGCAGTACGGATGGTTAAGCAAATTAATTTTATGGATAGAGTTAAAATTCGGTTTACCATGGTAATAGGAGCTGGGAGACAAGGGATGGAGATCATACATAAAAGGTATTTTTAAAACTACTAGGCAGTGAGTAACTGAGAACCTGATGAGGCTTGTGACCATGAATACTACTCCATACCTCACTACATCTTCTTCCTCATCTCCAAAACCAAAATAGCTCTGCTTATAGACAGCTCTCCTCGTCTCCCATCATATAAAGAAAGACCTATGCCTTAATCTGCTCTCTGCCTTTCCAGTAATAATTGAGAGTTTATTTCAATCTCAACGAAAAACCTTTTGATGTCTATCCGTAGATAGGCATTTAATGTCGTGCAACCTTAATTTTCTCAACTGTCAAATAAATGTGACCAAGAAAAAAGGCAAGATATTGATTCTAAAGTTTGTAATCTTCATTTTCAAATATTTTTAAGAGGAAGAACTGCTTGCTTATTTATGGAATGAGTGTGGGGTGACAGAATAAAATACAAGAGCCAGAGGACAGAAATTTTTAGAGAGAAAGGAAAGGGGTTCTTGTAGTTTTGCTGCTACTGTCTTGTTGATAAAGAACTTTAAGGAAAAAAGAGATAGGAAAAAATAATTTTATGAAGATTTGCTACTGTAATTCTGTGTTATGAAGTATCCTCCCATTTACTACTCTTACAAATTTTGATAATATCTATATTGTTCCTTGAATTTTTTTTTTAGTAAAATTCATATTTCAAGGATTTTTTTCATATTGTTTTACTAAATCAGATTCCATGGACAATCAGATAATTATGTTATTTGATGTTATTTCTCTAACAGATATCTAGGAGTATCAGCCTTAAATGGTGATGAGCCACGAATGGAAAAATTTTAGAGACATATATTAGCTAGCCTATTGTAATAGAAGCAATATTTAAGAGTTAAAAAAGAAGTAGCACTCTTTTTTGTATGTGTGTTAGAGTCTCACTCTGACACCCAGACTGGAGTTCAGTAGTATGATCACAGCTCACTGCAGCCTTGACCTCCTGGGCTCAAACGATCCTTCCATCTCAGCCTCCTAAGTAGCTGGTACTACAGATTTGCATCATCATGCATGGCTTTTTTTTCTTCTAGATATGATGTCTCATTATGTTACCCAGGCTGGTCTTGAATTCCTGGCCTCAAGTGATCCTCCTGCTTTGGCCTCCAGGAGTACTGAGATTACAGGCATAAGTCACAGTGCCTGGCCAAAGTAGCACTCCTAATCATTGTAATGAGAAGTGGGAATTTTGAGTTTTAGATATTGCTACCTCTAATTTGTCCTAAATTCTGAAAAAATTATTTAATTATACATCTCCAAATCTGTAAAATATATAGATTATCTCACGTTTACTCCCATTTTATGACAATTATTTTTATAAATTTTCTGAGAGATAAAAAGGAAAAATTAGGAATACTGTATTTTGTTTTCTAGGAAAAAAGGTAGTCTGAGGAACCTATATTTAGTCTCTTTCTATTAAAATAATTATGAATCACACTTGTACCTATTAAGAGGGAAAAAAGAGTGATGGCTGTAGAAGGAAAAATACAAAAAACTTATACTCTGAAGTGATTATAAGAGTAGTACAATATTCCTAACATTTAACTGAGATTTATGAGTTATGCTTATTGGAATGTGCACACATGCAAGTGTTGATGCGAGGAGAACCTAAAACTATCCTGTTTCCTTTAAGTAAGTTGAAACTCTCTTAGAAAGATTACTACTGTCACCAGGATGGCACAGCCTATAGCTCCTTACTTTGCCCTGGGCAAAGTTAGGATTGAATTTGGATTCAAGGTAGGCAGCTTGAAACCAATTCAGGGAGATAACATTTGCATTTTGGCCTTAGTAAAAATTTTAATTTTTACAGTTGAAATTACCCCAAATACAGAATGTGTTTGCCACAGATGATTTGTGACCCAGATAGATGTTTTCATGCCAATAGCCACGATATTGTCAGTAAGTGACAATTGCCAAGAAATTGGATACTTCCAACAATTGAGAGATAAGGGGCAATCACAATTTAAATGGTATCAAAGATTCTTTTAACTTTTACTATTTAGGCTAAATCTTTTTTCCAGGTAAAATAATTTCAACTAACTTGTAAGTTAATGTAGAGAGAGAAAAATGGTGAGCTGGAACTCAAGAGACTCGAGTTCTAACCTAAGCTCTGCCTAAATTTATGATTAATACTTCTAGACTTCAGTTTTTCCATCTTCAAAATAAGCCAGTAAACTGGATAAGCTGCCTTCCGGATCAATTAACAAAGAATAAAATTCTGCTTCTCCTTCATAATTTTGGGGGTATTTTTGTATTAAATCTGACTTACTGTGGAAATACACTAATACTTAAAGTTTATGGGTTTTTTTAATTTCCATAGAAAACCGAGAAAATTCCTATAGTCGTTCTAGAAGTTCTAGCATCTCCAGTATTGACAAAGATTCGAAAGAAGCAATTACAGCTCTATACTTCATGGACTCCTTTGCACGAAAAAATGACTCTACCATCTCCCCTTGTCTGTTTGTTGGAACCAGTCTGGGAATGGTGTTAATCATTTCCTTAAACCTACCAACTGCAGATGAACAAAGGTTTACTGAGCCAGTCATGGTATTACCTAGTGGTAAGTGTTTTTATTTATTTATTCCCTCATTGCTACTTTCTCAAGTTTAGATATAAGGTATAAAACCTTACTTTTTATTGACTATGAGCTTGTGAGTATATCTTCTGTGCAATGGGAGCTAATGAGAATTTTATAAATAATATACTATCTCAATATTTGTCATGTTGTAACTTACCTTTCCTTCAGGGTAAAAGAGTACAACCATTTTTATGGTAGTGAACTGTGGAAGTGCCAACCTAAACAATGCTTTTGGAAATAAGTTTCTGAAAAGTACTGAGAAAAACCTTAATGTAAAAGTTAAATTTGTTTTTAATGAATTGAAGCATTTCTCCAAAGTTCCATGCCAGATCAGAGCCTATGTGTGTTTTTACATTTTCCTTAAGAACTCAGAAATTAAGCTAGGAACTGTCTGACCTAAGGGAGATTTCTAAAGTCTTCTATAATCATCCCATCTTGTTTCAAAGGCATGCTGCACAATTTCTTTCGTTTTCTTCCTAATGCCTAGAGAATGTGACCTATGTTATGTTGTTGCTAAGTATATGTTATATTCTCTTCCTACTTGAATTTTCTTTTGAAGAAGAGATGAGTGTGATTCCTTTGAATATTTTAAAATTTGTTCTTATCACTAATTTTACTGTCTCACTCTTTCCTATATATTATTAGAAAGTTCTTCAGTATTTATTTTTAAAAATAATTTCACTAATACATAATATAAGTGGTTTATTTTTAAAGGATGGATATGGGATGGCATGTTAGATAGACTTGTGCTTTCTTTGTTAACCAGTATGCTAAATTCATGTAGATAGATTGTAGGTAGAATAGTCAGTTATTTACTAGTGTAGCAAATTCAGATAAATGCATTATGTTTTAAAAATTAATCTGTTTAGCAGGAAACTGCTGGGAGAAGAGCTGGGAAGCGGGATTGGAAATAGTGGGAATTTGCCGGGGGAACAGGGCAGGGGGCACACCTCATCAACCAGGGTACCTGCATAATGAACGTTTGTATATCTAACCCTGAATTGTAGCCCATATCTTTAAAATTTAAAAATTAAAATTAAAAAAAGCTAATCTGTTAAGATCACTTTATTATAAATATATATTTCACAAAGAGAAAATACCTTTTACTGCATTCCAATTTATAAGGAAATGTGCACTACTTGAGTTAGTTTGAGCAAGATCAGTGAAGTCACAATGAATCATTAAGTATTATTTCAGTCTATTCTTTAACTCAATAAATGAATACGCATATTGGACATCTAATATGTGCCAGGCGTTCTCACAAGTTAAACTTCTGCATCACACAAGCTTAAAGCTACTTGTAAATGACAATGTCTTAATTAGAAATATTCTAACAAATGTGGTTTTCTATGTCACAATCATAGAAATAAACAATTCCTGGAATGAATAGACCAGATATCTCAATATTATACAGAAGTTTTTTTTTGGCCATTCTTAGCACGCACACACTTAGACATGATGCCAAAACACAAAATAAGTATAGATTTAACATTAAGGCTTCTACTTTATAAATATTTATAAACTTTTTCCTTATCTGTTTAATGAGATATAATGGGAAGCAGTCTTCTCCAAGTTTCTTTGTCAGTATTCTCCTTTCATGACTTTAGTTGATAATAATATAACAATATCAGTTCATCAATTATACCAAATGTGCCATACTAGTATAGGATAGGGGAAATAACAGAAGGGGTATATGGGAATTCTTTGTAATATCTGCCCAATTTTCTGTAAACCTGAAGCTACTCTAAACAAAAATCTGTTAATTTTTTAAAAACTAGATGCATATAAAGGATAAAACTATGAGGCTATGTTCATATTTGTTCTATAATCAACCATTGAAAGAAAGCCTAACTGGAAGCCATAATTTATGGCAGTAAAAAAAAAAAAAAGGAGGGTAGAACTTCATAAGAAAAGATGGTGGTATCAGAAAGCCAGTTCAATTTTAAAGTAGAAAGCTTTGCCCTTCTTCCTTCACAGTTCATTTATTGACTCTCTGTAATAGTTCTCCCAGTCTTCACCTCTTTGCAATATCTGTTCTTCATGCCATACCCACTAGTTCTTTCCCAGGCTTATGGGAACCATTATGATAATGTATAATATGGGTGTTGCTCTAAGCTATGGGAACCATTTTTAAAGGTTTGAATTTGGAGTTATTTCCCTGTTCCATTGTTAGTGCTGAAGTGAGTGACACACTCTCAAGCCCTGAATGCATTTTTTTCCCTGTAAAAACATTGTTAAATAACCTCTCATCAGTTGGCCTGGGAAAGTGCATGTGAGTCAAGCAGTTTCCCTAAACTTGAAAGCAGTCCATCTTACAATTCATCCATTCATTCAACAAACATTTGCCAAGCCCATACTACTGAATTAAGCAATGGGAATACAATGGTCCCTATTTTCAGAAACGTATAGGGAAGAACAAAATTAAACAGAAAAAATTTAATTACAATAAAGAAATTATAATAAGGAAAATAAAAAATACTATAGCAGCATAAGAGGGGGATTTGGGGAAAATGTCCCTAACAAAGATGATATCTGAAGTGGGAATTGAACAGATTTGGGAGGGAGTGCATGTTTAAGAGTAATTAAGTATATCATAAGTAAAAATCTGGAGTTAGGAAAGACTATGGCATAGTTGAAGCTTAGAGATGGAATGGTACTAGATGAGGTTAGAAAAATAGGCAGAGTAAGATTATAGAGGGTCTTATAAGCCATGTTAAAGAGCTAGGGGAAAAAAGTAGATCAGTGGATTTTTTTTTCTCAGTATAAAACTTATGATGCCAAACACTGTATTTTTTTTCTCAAGAGCTGGTTCTTAAATTTTATAATTGTAAAGATCAAAAGACAAAAGAAAATAAATGAAAATTCTCCCACTAGCAAACTTTATTCCTTCTCTGTCCTCATCCCCCTCCTTTCTTCCTCCCCTAAGAATTTTACTCTCCATCAGTAACACTGTGAGAAATCTGATAAGACTCACTTTTAATTTTTGTATTTCTACTTAACTCTTTATGCTGCCTGCTACAGATTAGTCTGTAATGATCAGTTCTACCATATGAAATATCTAGCACTGCCTTGTAAAAAAAATATATTTTGATACCTCATAATTAAACTGAAGTTTTAGACTCATGATTAAACTCAAGATTCTCCAGAATAAATTCATTCTCTTTACCCCCAAACTAGTTCTTTTTGCCACTCTTCCATTTCTATTAATAGTACCATGATCAAATACAAATCAGAACCACACTGAGATACCACCTAACCCCAGTAAGAATGGCCATCATTAATAAAACAGACAAAAACAGATGCTGGTGAGGATGCAGAGAAAAAGGAACACTTCTACTCTGCTGGTGGGAATGCAAACTAGTGCAACCTCTCTGGAAGACAGTGTGGTGATTTCTGAAAGCACTAGAAATTGACCTTCCATATGACCCAGCAGTCTTTCTATTGGGAATACCCAGAAAACTCAAATTATTCTACAAAAAGAATACCTGCACACACATGTTTTTTGTAGCTCTATTCACAATAGCAAAAACATGGAACCAACTATGATGTCCATCGATGCTGGACTGTATTAAAAAAATGTGGTACATATACACCATGGAATATTATGCAACCATAAAGAAGGACAAACATGGACTTCACAGCAACTTGGGTGGATTTAGAGTCTATCATACTTAGTGATCTATTACAGAAACAAACAACAGAGTACCACATGTTCTCACTCATAAGTAGACCTTGAACAATTATCATAATACTGCAAAAAAGGGATTGGCAGTAGTGGGAAACTGCCAGGGGATGTAGGGGTGGGATTGACAGTTGAAGGAAACTGCCAGGGGAGGGAGAGGCACCCTTCATCAACAAGTGTACTTGCATAATGACCATTTGTATACCTAACCCTGAATTGTACCCCACATCTTTAAAATTAAAATGAATGAGTAAATAAAGCCACGATGATACCTAAATATCCTTTATGACTTCATTTTATTATTTTCTGATCCCTTTTACTCACTGCCTCCATGTTCATCTTACACCAATATTGTTTTCATCACGTGGTTTGTCTTTTTTTCATAATTTTTTATTTTAAAGATATGGGGTACAATTCAGGGTTAGGTATACAAATGTTCATTATGCAGATACCCTTGTTGATGAGGTATGCACCCCCACTCCCTGAAGATTTCCACTACTGCCAATACCTCCACACATACCCCAGCAGTTTCCCACTACTGCCAATCCTTTTCTTACAATATTACAATAATTGTTCAAGGTTCATTTATGAGTGAGAACATGTGATACTCAGTTCTTTGTTTCTGTGGTAGATCACTCAGTATTATAGACTCTAAGACCATCTAAGTTGCTGTGAAGTTCATAATTTTGTCCTTCTTAATGGCTGCATAATATTCCATTGTATATATATATGCCACATTTTTTTAATCCAGTCCTCTTTCGATGGACAGCACAGTTGGTTCCATGTTTTTGCTGTTGTGAACAATACTGTAATAAACATGCACCATCACCTGGTTTCTATGCACCATATTCCCTAGTATCTTTCATTCATAGAAGCAATTTCAAATTGTGAATCTTGAAAATCAATGGTATCTATAAACTCAGCTCTACTCTGCCTCTCTAATCTTATTTTCTATTACTTCCCAGCACCAGCTCCCCAGTCCAGCCAGTCTTATTTCTTTACTTTCCCTTTTCTCTCTTTGCCACCTCTCAATCATCTATTGTTGGCAAAAGTCAAAGGAATTTTTAGGTTCATTGGAAAGACCTGTATCAAGTTTTATGTATGAGCTGTAAGCTTTGAAAGAATTTTCTACAGACTAGCTTTTGACTATATACATTTCAGATCTTCTTTTTTTCTATATTATCCACATACTTCTAAGGCTGAAATAATATGCCTTTGCAATATGACCTCTAGCCTGGCACTTACCATGTAAAAATGTTGCTGAGTTGCAACAGGGTAGTAGTATTTTCCCTGGAAGGCTGGCAGGAACCTAAATATGATAGTGACTATGAACCACCTAAATATAACATACTAAACCCAAATTAAATGTACCCTATTTTCAACTTCCCTTACCCAGATCTCTGAAGTTCATGACCACAGCAATGTCACCTGAGTACAGAAGTATTAAAGTTGGAAGGGAAAAGCAGCCTTATATGATTGTAATTAAAATAT